ATCCCGCCATCTTCAACTCGCCGTCCGCAACGACGAGGAAATCCTTTCCTGTGTGAGCATCGCTCACGGAGGTGTTCAGCCCAACATCCAGGCCGGCTGGCGCTAACGTAGTTGGGATGGGCCACGCGGCTCGCGGCGAGCCATGACTCATCTGCTCTTCTGCTTCCTCATAAGCAAAATGCAGTTTCGTGTAAGGACATGAATAACTTGGCCCTAGCTAGCTTGAGAAATTCAAACAATTAACTTTGCAAAGTGCAAAGACACAGTTTCAGGCTGCAGAGTTCTTGCCTAAACTACAAAATTTCTATGTATGTTTGTCGTTGACTGTTAATGTTGACTACCAAAAATTGAATTTTTACCTTCTGTGGAATACTTCAGCCAGCTCCCAGTGGGCTTTCTTTGTTTTATTCTATTTTTATACTGTTTAGGCTGCTAGATTCGCGTTTCATATATGCCGACAGGTGGAGAGCCGATGAGTTATCACTCGCCGCGACCCGCGTGGCCCTTCCCGACTACGTTAGCACCGGTCGCTTCTTCTTCAGGGTAATCGTGCGCGGGTTGGATGCTTAAGTGTGACTTTGCCGTTTAGTCGCGCTCGAAGGGGTTGACCGTTGGTTGAGCTGATGAGTCACTCTGCCTGTTTCACAGCAGTGCGCTCTCCCGTCTGATCCCTGACACCGAGAAGCAGACCTGGAGGGAAAAAAACGGATTGGTTGTCCCTACACGCGAATTGGAATACAACACTTCGTAGGTTGTAGCATAGCATCCTGTGCAGTGTGGATTAACACAGCGATTTCTTTACCAGTAGTTTTTGAAGGGTTTCCCGATTCGGCCACTGAACAGTGGTACGAAATCATGAAAATTTGTATAATTTTCGAACTTCCACCTGTTCAAAATCGGGCCCATGTTTCTCCATGTGGACTGAAGTAGCGCATGTATCAGAACACCGAGGTCCACCAAAACTTATATCCTGTAGAGAAGGTGAGCAATTTTGCTGGGGTCCTGTTTTGTGTGCGAATTTTGAGGAATTACCTCGCACCGAAACAGTGCTCGAGGGTGGTCAGAAGCCAGGAGTATTTTTTGTTTGATTCTTGTTTTCCATTACGTAGGTACCACCTCTCCCCTAAAAGGTGAATCGATACGGCCCCCTTCCTCGCCCTTGTAACGTTTGTAGTTTTTTCGCCTTTTCACTTACTTGGTCGCCTTACTAGGTGGGCAATTTTGCTGGGGTCCTGTTTTGTGTGCGAATTTTGAGGAATTACCTCGCACAGAAACAGTGCTCGAGGGTGGTCAGAAGCCAGGAGTATTTTTTTGTTTGATTCTTGTTTTCCATTACCCTGCCTGGAAGGACTGAAATGTTCGAAAGAGGTCTCAAATTTAATAGGCAACATCATAATGATAAGAGTTTACCACGCTGCAGTGAGTACATATTGTCCTTTGTGCGAAGGTTTTTTTAAACCTGAGCACCCGATTATAGCACCTTAGCGCAGTTACGGTAACTAGTTCCAGACGCACCTTTGACAGAACTGATTGGCAAAACTGCCATACTATCGAGAAATCCCTCATCAAGGTCAATGGGTCTTGGGTGGATCAAAAGTAACTACTTTCCTTGATTTACTTAATTATTGAATCGTAACTGTGCATGATGTCCCGAGCTATCAATCGATGCAGTACTGTTGCACTTTGCGTGAAGAGGGAAGGAAGAGGGGTGGAGTCACGAGGTCTGTCAAAATACCGTATGAGATTTCGTTGTGTAAGATTTCGCCATCCACGAGGTCTGTCAAGCGGCTGGTATTCTTCTTGCTGTCATTGTGAAGAAGGTAAGCAGTACCATGGCAAATCATGTCTGGAACAGAAAGAAGATACAACTTTCATTGACTTGACAGTTTTGTTGTTACTTATCCGAGCGGCTTTGGCTATTTCGTTTCGATCAATTTAATCGTTGGATGCTATTCTTCAGGGTTTTTTTTGCGGTCTTCTTCGGTTCCTGGTTGCGTGAAAGACAAAGGGAGGTTCCGCTGGAAAGTATCGGTGAAACTTCTGCAAGTTGCTTCATATTAAGGTTTGCAAATTTCCTTAATGATAATACTGCGCTTGCTATTTTTGACAAATTGCTCAGCGTCGTTCTTTACACTGCCCGGAAGAGAAATGAAACTCGTAGGACCTTACTTATATGGTTGCCATCAGACTAGTTACAGTTGATGCCTTCACAATTAGTCGGTGGCAGGAAGCATGGAATAAGCCCACCCCATCCACGCGTTCCCTACCACTCGTTCTTCTTTCCTGACCATGAGTCCATCACTGTTGGTGGAAAATGCAGCCGGGTGTGCCCATCGGGATACAGCATCGTGATGTGTGAAATATTGGTGTAGGTACGACTCCCCCCCCCCGCTCCGAGAGAGGGTGTCAGAAGGACTCCCTCCCACCTAGATTGGTGTCTCGGTGCTACCCCTTCTTCCCTAACACCTAACCGAGAAAAATTCTTTCCCAACGCGGCAACTTTCTCTACACATACGACCCCACTCCCCTCCCAGCGGAGAAGTACCATCCCCCCCTATTTGTTTCACACAGCGATATTGTACCCTAGAGCTCATTCCATCCCTCCTGACACCGCCCCGACCGATTGCGACTACACCATCCATAATTAGTGTTCTGTACATCTTGGAACACGTTAATAACTTTTTTGCCTTTTCAGTTCATTCGCGGGTCTCGGAAAGTACAGACTGACCAGTCATTATGCAGGGGGAATTGCTTAGCTTCTCATTCCGGAATTTTCATCTATCACAGGCCACTGGAGTCTGGTCCTTATTGGAGCAAAACTCGATCATTTAAATTCCTGTTTTCTGGTAGTGCTCTGTAATCGCTGAATTTATAATGCATTTTCCCTGATCAGTCACTGCATAAAAACCACTTAGGCTCTGGAGTAATAATCGCTGTAATACGTGATGATAAAATGCACCTATGCGTGAATTATGGGGAATCACGAAATCGTTTTCGGTGAGCTGTTTTGCCCACCGGAGATATCAATGCTGAGCCTGCGATTCGTCAACGTCAACTGAGGGACAAACTGTACCCTCACTTCCGAAGAAGATTCTTTGCATGTGCGAGGTGAATGGGTCCGCAGCAGGGTGAAGCACACGTTGCGCAGAATGGGGGTTTAGTACGACCTCCCCTAGAAGGGGAATGTTCGGTGTTCGTTCGAAAATCAGGGTTCATTACGACCCCCCCCCCTTCTTAGTGACCGTGCAGCGTGTGGAGATATGTGCCATGTTCATCGGGATGTAGCTGTATGTGTTGTATGTTCTGCGAATTCAACCGAACGAAAGTCTGAGTGGCTAAGTAGGAACAGTTACCAAACCAGTCGAATAAGACCGTGAAAATTGAACGGATTAGCTCCTCAAGAGTCGTGTAATGTTCAATGTGAAGCTTCGAAAAAACTATAAGTAGTTGAACATCACGATGGATATACCTCAAACAGTGGAGGAATAGTGGCTGCTATCTAGTAGCTAGCGGCCCGTGGGGGTCGGCATGGGCCTAAGAGGCGTCAATGGGTTTCATTCACAATAAAGCCTAAAAAATGGTTTTTCTCAGTTTTTTTTTCAAAATTGGGTGCTCGCAGAATCTCTATACACCTGGAGAGGTGAGAACGTCCTTACCATTGTCCTTACACATAATAGACGGTATTCCAGTATCTTCAGTGAAAAATGCTGACATTTATGTTAAAAATATTCGGAAAAAACATACAGATCAACAAACTATGAGGCAGCTGTTGATTCTTTTCTTTTTGTTCTATTTTGATTTTCTACATTTTCAATCGTTTCTCTTTGCTGTGTTTGTTTTTTTTTGTTTTGTACATGCTATGAATCCATCTACAAACACACATAAACAGAACTACATCAAATAACAATAAACATAACACAAAACAAAAATCTATCTCTATACAGATACAATCAGAAAAAACGAAAGAAGTACATGGTACAAACTTAAGTAATGAAGAAAAGGTTATCAATAAGAGAGTAGCGATAACAGGAACATATGCAACAAGGGCGAAGCTATAACGAGAGTGCCATCGGCAATATGTCGCCGATGGCACTGTCGATATAGTGCCAGTTTGTATAGGGCGGGAGGTGGATTAGCTAACGGACCGTAGTAACCGTATCCACAGTGGGAGGGGGGCGAGGGTTGTTATTGTAAGTCATCTCGAACGAGACAAAACGAGACAAAACAGTTATTCTATTTTATCATGTTATCATTGTTATGGTTAATACAATGATAATATGATGAAATAAAACAATATGACCCAAAAACATCATGGAATCCGAGTACACACAAATAATGATCGGTAACCTCGTGGTAATACAAGTTTCACTCGGACACAGTTAAAAATGGCAAAAATAATCAAGATTAGTGCGAACATCGGCTAATCTAACACAAATTGCATAAAAATGTATTCTTCATTCGACTTCTCTTCTTGATTCGTCATCCGCACGTTTGAGAGATGTACTCCTCATCATAAGAAAAAAAACTAACATTTAGACTTGAAAACAGTGAAGAACAATGGAACAAGGTTCACCATTTGAAGGCAGCGGTCAGCAGGAGGAGCGCGTCGCCGCAGAACCAGCAGTCAGCAAGGAGCGTCGTATCTTTGCTCTCGCTAAAGAGTGGATCCCGTCATGGATCGATTGTGGACGGATAAAGAAGCCACCCGTTACGTTAACTGATGGTGAGACTTTGTCCATTGCACCATTGATAGGCAAAAAATGCATTGGTGCATTCAGATGTCTTTTACCCTCCGTACTCGCATGCCGGTTATCAGTTCTGCGTCGTATGCGGTCGACACGACAAGTTCCGCCTGCGGGCCCACATCACGAACACCCACAAGGAGTTCACTGGTGATGAACTCGAGGTGCAGTTGTAATGGTATCGAGGACAACGTCAACATAGCAATCTGCATTTGAGTTTAGGTGGTCATCCAGACGAGTCGTGGCATAGTGGAGCGGATGAAAAGTGCAAAAGTGAACTTCGGTAACCTGCCGGAACCAATGACGGAACGGGAATATATCATCTACGAAGCCGTGACCATGACATTGGAGAATTATGGCATCCCCATCTACATGGTTTATTCTAAATTTCTGTCATGCTTATGCTCACGCGACAAGATGATGCGGTGTTACAGCCATACAAACGTGAAGCAATGGTTCGTCAACGCTTTCTTACCCAGTATCCGCAAATGCAACACCGAGAGGAGGCACAAATGGGCGGAGGAGTTGAGGCCATCGTTGGCCACGACCAGCTCGCCGCCAATCCACTTCACCAGGTTCTAAACACTACTTGGTATTCAATGAGTCCTTGTTTGCATGACCTTTCTAACTGTAGGATATCCCGCCAACGTTCCGTGGACCGTTCATCAGTCGGGAAAACGAGTACAGGATCGCCTACGACAAACACTACACGGGTGAACCTGTTTAATATACGTGTCGACAAGTTCTCGTGTACTGAGGATGTTTCTGTTTAGGTGGACAGAACATACATCCTCACTTCCTTTCAAATCACTACAAGGAACTCATGTTCTGCTACTATGATGACGACTATGCGCCAGACTACTACGCGCAAGATTTCACCATCACGGCTGATACAAGTATGCTTGCTGGTAGGATTAATGTTAAGATGAGGCACCCTTCACCTTATTCAGTGTGGATGAAACGCGCAGAGCTGTCAACGAAACTGTGGAGGAAGTTACGCTACGAGGTCCATCCATTATTAGTGGCCTTTAGGAAATCTCTGCGATCGTATGTGGTGAGACAGTTTGTTCAACTTGGAAATTAGCTTGTTGTCGCTCAATCCTGAATGTTCACACTTGACAGCACGTCGAGGGAAAGCGCCCTTCGGTGAAGGTGAAGGCATTCGAGAGCTATGCTCAGTATGTGGAGCGTTACATGCTAGTCGCCATGAGGGGACGCCAGCGGTAAGGGACTACTATTTGCAGTATCTGGATCTAAAGGGAATCGCAAAAAATGTTCAGATGTGGAAGGATCGTTACGATAGATGATGCCATCTTTTCTGAACGAATGCTCCCCGATTTTTTGGAAATGACCCAACAAGTGGGAGTAACAGTTGGGGTGCGCATGAACTTTGTCAAGGCGCTGATCGCCTTCTATAGATTCCTGGAGAAGCACATCGATGCAAGTATGGTTTGGTTATAATAATGGATGATTATTACCCAAGGTTCAAATGTTGCAAAGTATGCATTGATTAGATGGCGGTCAGCGAAGATTGGAACTCATTGGAAGAGCGATCAAGAACTCGTCGGACTATCTGGCTGAGCTGAAGAGGGAGGCGAAGTCTCGCGACTCGTATGAAGGACTGGTCACCAGCACAAGGAAACCGCGGAAGGTCCATATTGTTTGCACAGAGCACCGTCTGTGCAAAACACCGTTCACAGGGCATAGTCTTTTTTTAGGAGTACCCCAAATATGGAGTGATGCGAGTGATTGTCGATCACTCTGTGATCGACAAGAACGTCGAAGCAGTAATGAAGGTATTCGCAAGGAGCCCAAACGCGCTACGTTGTAGCGAATACAATTTCGTTATGAGGTCTGCTACAAAGTTTTCCCTGCTACAAAGTTTTCCTTCCTAGCTCCCACGAATACACAGTGATTGTATTTCAGTGCACTCATTGCATATATCATGCACTGTAATGCAACGAGGAACGAAGTTGTATATAAGACGATAGTGGGCAGTGTGGTCGAAAGACCCGACGAATCGCTGGGCTTAGTAAAGTACACGGAGACTACCGCGGATTGTGAAGAAATCTACTGGGTAGAGGTTTTCTGATACGTTGAGCCTTATCGCGGAACGTCTTTGACATAAACTTTCAGGTTGGCCGCTATCCCGATCCGAAGCAGTGCTCGAGGACGGGTGTACGGACCTCATGTAGTGGCGGCCTCTTCGTTCTGGACAAGAAATCGCACCGATGGCTGGGCTACTACAAAAGACTGCGCGCATTGTACGTGCAAGCTACATGGCAAGAAAATGCATAAAATATCATCAATGTTTGAGCATAACTGACGAGCGTGGGCTCGGTGAAATGAACGACGAGAAAGACCCCTTTTTCCTGGGATGGACCGGTAGACCTGTGTCATCTACCTACGTCCAACCCCTTGTCAAACGACTTCTGCAGCTGATCAACTGTGAAGGACTGGAGCTCACATGTAATGCAGTAAGTTCCAGCAGTTGTACAACCCCTCCCTTCGTTGAAAACCGTCTTCTGGTAATGTGTTTAGACGAGGCATGCATCGAGCACATCACAGTATGAGATGTATCTCGATCAGGACCCAGGTGATGGAAGAATGGAGCCTGCTGATAGGGACCTATCCAAACTATTAGGTGAATGTCGCTCGTTTTCTTCGCCGATTCCTACCCTTAGGAATGGTGTAGCTGTTCAGGACACTCACAACGTACGCAACTCAAGTACTATGTGGACGAATTCGTAAAGCCTGCGGTCAGAGCCTACCGATGTCTGAAAACCTTAGCCGAGAGGGAAAAAATCCTGTTCAGAGATGAAGTGGCGGCGGCCAAGAGACGTGTCAAGTTTACAGGGCACGTTTTGTTGTGTGTGAGAGTTTCGAATGCTCCTCCTTGAATCTAGTTCTATAGGTTTGATGCGGTCGCGGAACCACTGCCTGAACCGGAGGAGGAACTAGGTGAAAGTGAACTAGACTCATCTGAAGACGAAGATGAAGAGGGAATAGTGCAGGAAGATGAGGAATACGTCCCTTCAAGGCCTATTGGTGACTTTACACTACATTAAGTGTATCATTCTCATTTGTATAAAATTGATTCAGAAAAGATTACTCTGAAGGTCAAGAGGGGATCTCCTAGAAAGCAGCAAAAACTTTCACCTCCAAGACAAGGTATTGGGTAAACTTGATGTTACACAGCGAATGAAATATTTCTAGAGGAAAAGCGAAAATTTTTTCAGTATTTGATTCGGACGAAAGCTCAAGCGACGACGAGTCAACGCATCGCAAGATCGCTGTGAAAAAGGGTACGTAAAATCCCATCCAGGGGAGATCCAGGAAACCTTCCCACTCGACTAATTTGTTTAGATGAGACTGAACCTCTAGAACAGCAGTCGAGAAAAGTGGGCAGTGCGAGAAGCAGTGAGCAGTCGAAAGGGCCACGAAGGGTTCCGCTGTTCAAGCCCCCAGTTGTCAGACAAAAAACCTTCGATCCCTCGTTACCCAGTACATCACGGATGTACGCCGATTCGCCACAATACGGTAAACATGTTGAGTAAACTTGAATATTACTTGTAAAAAGACTTTTTCAGAAGATCCCTACGAGTTTACAGCTCACGACGACACGTTGGGAGCCACCTCGGATCCTCCTTGTCTAGTTTCGGAAGTCCCAGGCGGATCAGGTGAATATGCGTTCAACTGGCCTTGCATTGATGAGAGCTGAGCTTAAGTTGATCACTGCAGGCAGTGATGAAGCGTCAGGAAGTCGGACGTGGCAGCTCGTACCTTTGGACTACACCCGACCGAGGCTGGTGTGTCGAAAACGCCACATGGCCATGCTTTATGCTAAGTCCACGGGGCAGTGTACATCGCTCACCGCTGAACGACTGCTTCTGTGGATACAGTCGAGGGTAAACCGATGCCTTCGTTTTGACACTGGTCACACAATGACCAGTTTCAATGCGTTTGCAAAAAGCCGCTCCATTCTGTGCACCCAAATCACAGACGTAAGTATGAAACACAATGTTTTCGAAGTCTGTTGTCTAGTGGTTTGTTTAAGACGTTGTACCCATATTCGCGTGTCATCCCGCACACTGATGGCAATGAGCTGTGTCAGCTACTTTGGGCAGCTGAGGATGCCGCATATCGTAGGAAGGGTACAGTAGTGCTTGTGTTCAAAGCGGCCGATGATCAACGTTCCACCGTCGTACTTCTTGGCGAGTTGGCACCACCGTCAACGATGTACAATTCGTGTGTCGGCTACATAGATGGGAATTGCTATGCGGTAGGATTAGAGAAGATCACAGGAGAAAATGCGACATCAGTAATGTCTGTTTTAGGTTAAAGAATGCCCGTCCGACAGCGTTGAACCGACTCTCAACGAAGAGTTTGGGAACGCAGAACTGCTACAGTTTAGGACGAGGAATGAGGACATGTGGTTAGATCTTCTCCATAGATCTGTTCTCGAGTTGACCTATGTCCTGGACGTGATGCGTCGCTACCACTCATCCTATTAGGTAGATTTTTTTTTCTTCTAGCTGGTCTATATTTGAAAATTTTGTTTTCTTCAGAAGCCTTCAGTATTAGGTCCTCCCTAGTATTGGATGGTCCGAGATAATGTACAGGTTCGTTTTACTATTTCTATCATTGCTGTCATCACTACACCGTTTTCAATGATTTCAGTTTTGACCACGGGTCTTTAGGCTCTGGTCTTCTAAATGATTTCTAATTACTATTGTTATAGGTTGAGGAGCCTCAGTGAAGCCGCCATGGACGTACTCTCTATAGTTTCGGAGGATAAGAAGCTCTCGCCACGAGACACATACTTGAAATCTAACCCAACGGCCCTCTTTAGGGCCACCATTGAAACGTAAACGAATACAAAGAGATTTCATGAATGCATTATTGAATAAATATGTTCTATTGTATTGTGCATTGTGTCATCCTCATAGGTAGGTTCCTCTTTTTCTACTCGCTGGCCTCTAATTGAAGATTTCATCTTATTCAGAAGCCTCTATGGTTCCTCTCTAGCATTGGATTGTCCGAGATATTGTAAAGGTTCGTTTAATTTTTTTCTATCGTTGCTGTCATCATTACACTGTTTCTAATGATATCAGATTCTGCCGCAAATCTTTAGTCAACGGTCTTCTAAATGATTCCTAGTTACTATTGTTGTAGGTTCAGAAGCCTCAGTCAGGTCACCAAGGACGTACTCTCTATGTTTCACAAGAAGTTTTCGCCACGAGACACACACTTCAAATATAACCCAACGGCCCTCTTTAGGGCCACCATTGAAGCGTAAACGAATACAAAGAGATTAATGCATTTTGGAATAAATATGTTCTAATGTATTGTGTTTTGTGTTGTTTTAGCAAGGGTAGTTAGTAGATTGCTGACAAGGTGGTTTTTTTGGAAAGGGACATATACGGAAACAGAGTGATGACGTGTGTTTGAATGATGTTGGTGAGTGATGTCTCAATGCTTCGCGATCTCACTTATGCACTCAAGTAGTATCCAGGTTGGATGTTAGGTATATACATATTTGATACACAAATCGAAGACGCAACTTCAACTCGGATAACTGTGCAGTAAAGGAAAAATTGTCCCAAAAACTGCAGTGACGAGAAGCATCGATCCTTCAAAGGAAGAAGTAGAAGTAGTACGGAAAATTCCGGGGAAAGCTCGATCTTGATAAAGTCCCTTACTACACGTTATGGCCAACCTATAGCACACCCAGCACACAATGGATGAACACAACCAGTTTTTGGGTAACGGTTATTGCTTGCGGTGTGTAATTACACGGCTACCTTCTAGTATTTACGCAACTCGCCAGGTTGTTCAAGTCAATGAATCAGTAGGCTCTGTTGGTGACTTACCAGAAAAATCCGGCACGGTGGAGGTCTTCGTAGGGTGGCACGAAATATGAGTAATGATGGGAACCCAGGCGTCCAATGGAACCTCAAGAACTTTCGCTATCTTGTGAAAAAACTGTTGGTGATCCCATCAACAGAAGAGAAAAAGGGAAATCACATTAAAACACAGATGATTTGTTCGTTTGCCCCTTCCACAGACTAGTCATAGTTATTTTACTTTCCTTACTACTAGTTTTCTCACATTCATCTCGCATTTCCTCAAGTTCAAACATGTTTTGCTCAAAAAAAAACATTTATTCTTGAATACAACATCAATGAAACGAGACGTTTGTCTCAAGTGTATTCGTTATTGATCATATGTGGCCCTAAAGAGGGCCGTTGGGTTAGATGAATGCAGCCAGCAGAGTGGGCGCTTATTCCTTCCCATCGGCGGTCTTCTTGGGCAGGAGAACGGCGGCCGGTGCTAAGGCGTAGTGTGGAAGGGCCCCGCGGCTCGCGTCGAGTGATGAGTTATCGGCTTTCACTCATCGGCATACTTGAAACGCGAATCTAGCAGCCTAAACAGGCTAAAAATAGAATAAAACAAAGAACGCTCACTGGGAACTTGCTGAGGAATTCCACAGAGGTCAAAATTCAATTTTTGGTAGTCAACATTAACAGTCAACGACAAACATGCAGAAAAATTTTGTAGTTTAGGCAAGAACTCTGCAGCCCAAAACTGTGTCTTTGCACTTTGCAAAGCTAATTGTTTAAACTTTTCAAGCTAACTAGGGCCAAGCTATATTCATATCCACACGAAATTACCTGTATTTTGTTGACTGCCAACTGGAGGATCTCAGCAGCCCAGATAACGAGAACAGCGGATAGGTAGACTGGAGGTCCACCTCCGAACGTTCAGCATTGTCTAGAGCATACGATGAAGACGATGAACTGAAGTCCAGCAGGCGTCCTGAGAAATGCGAGATGAACACTCACGGGATAGTTATTGGTATATTTAATGGAGCGATCATACAATAGATGCGTATTAATTTCGGTTGTGAAAAAAGAAAAGAATTTCGATAGAAAAAAAGCCAGCGAAAACGACACGCACCTATCGAGCTAGCGTTTTAACATCTCGACAAACATCGCGATTAGGCGAAACGCCCATCGATTCATATCAGAATCCATTCGGCCAACCGATGGACTCTTCATCCAATCGCCAGTCGATACGTACCCAAAAAAAACTTGAAACTCACAACTTAAAAACGCTGCTATTCGTGCTCTCCATACCCCCTTCTGCAGGTTCATGTGTTCAGCGTTCCTGAGAAAGTAGTCATCACTGTAGTGGACACTACTTGTTAATTATATACATAACGCCGCTGTCCGGCAGCGCTATTGTTTCCTACTCCCTGTCAGTGGCAATTTGCCAACATTTGAAACTTGAGATATCTACACCTG